TTACGAAGTGCGGAAAAGATTCTCGATCTCAGGGGTCCCATTCTTATATAATTTACTATGGTTACAACCGTAGTTAACACAATATTCAAACCAAGACTCATTTCTTTCGAAGCCAAAGCTTCTCTGTGGATCATGCGATGTGTCCAGTCGCATTTAGGCGATTTTTGTTTTACAAGTGCTTGTATACTTTTGAATCTTCCGGACATTGAACGAGCACCATCGGTGCATATTCCGACGCAATTTTTGCCTTCTATGTTTTTCGCATTCATAAAATCATTTAAAATAGCAAATGATGCGAGTGCTGTTGTTTTGAGTTCGATTAATTTGCAGTAAAGTAGTTCTACTGCTGACATATTATCCCAAAATCGAATATAGGCAATTAAAAGATCATCTATATTAATATCTGTTGCTTAATCAAGTTGTATTGAAAACAATTTGACACGCAATTTTGAGAAAAGCTGTCATTTCACATCTTCAGCTAGATCACCAATTTGACAAGCAACAGTATCATTTGAAAGAGGTGTGGACTGTAATTGTTTTGAAAAATTATCTCCAAACATAGTTTTTACAATCTCAATTGCTGCTGGTTTTAAATTTACTTTTGTTTTGGCAATTAAAAAAATTTAAAAACAGAATTCAAAATACTCAATATACATTATTGTTGTATACATTTTACTGTAAGCTGGGGCACGATGAAAATTCTGATTAGAAACTGGGCCGCGATTACTGAAAGGTTGAGAAACGCTGCTTTAAACAATAAATGTATGGCATTGCGTGATTTACACGATTTGAAAAATATTGTATTTGGACAATAATATATTTCATCTTATACTGTTCCTAAACAATCAAGAAAATACTTAAAAAAATAATGAGATAATGAATGTTTTATTGCAGCTTGCGCAAACTTTTTCGTGAGACAATGCAAATAACATTTATAATTTAGCTTTCTTTAGAGCTAAGATTTGAAGAAAAAAAGTTACTCTGACACATTGCACGCGATTTAAGTCATAAAAATCATGTTTATGATTTGAAACGACTTTTGATAAGCTGTCAAACTTCCTTTTAAAACCATACTAGTTAAAAGAAAATGAAGAATTAAATCTTTTTTTTAAAGATTTTTATAGAAAAAAACTAATTTTGCTACATGCTATACTCAAACTAATTACACTCTACCTCAGAAGTTTAACAAAAATTAGCAAAAATTTTGATTTTTATAGTTAACAATAGAATGCTAACAAAGTTTAATTTAAAACAGGAAATAAGTAATTCGCTGAAAACTATTTTTTCTTATCATGTCAGTTATTAAAAAATATATATATAATTGGCGGTCTCAAAGGTTTTAACACAAAAGCTAAAATTTCAATATTTAGCAAACACTTGAATAATCTTATTTGGACATTATTCTTAATGACATCAAATGTATGTTTCTATTGAATCTGAAAATATTTCTATTGAATTAATTAGCTTCTGAGGTGTTTGTGCGGATAAAGAATACCAATGTTTTCTTAATAAACTGTTGGAATTCTTTAACATTGCTGGACAATTTCTAAGGACGGATGATAATAGCGACGATAGCAACCATAAAAGTGAGGGTAGGAAGCTTGCAAGATACAGTAAGACGTATGCACATTTCGGGTTGCAAAAATGGTTTGTCACATGACAGCGCTGATAAGAAATATGAAGGATTTGACGCATATTCATCGTTGTTGTTCAAAATTTAAGGGGAAATAATGATTTGACGAACTTGCAATTTTCGATTTGTCTTCCCGACGTGATTCAGACGGTTTTAAGCTTGGCCGTACTATCGGCAAGATTGAAGAAGGCTGAAAAATAACAGATGTTGCCAAAGAGTTCGATGTCAGCCACAGTATTATTTCAGGGCTTTGGAAATCCTCTTAAGCAATTGGAATGAGTAGCAAACGTCTAGGGGGAGGTCGTGTTCTGTGCTTGCAAAAGACAGGTACATCGCGCTATCGGCAAAAAGGAATCGGTGCAGTACTACCAATCAGGTAGCAAATCAGTTACATGATACTGCGGGCAAACGAATCTTCCGAGAAACTGTAGCCTGTCGCGTGCAAGCTGGAGGACTATAAGTCCGCCGACCTTTTGTGTGTCACATTTGCCAGACGTTGCCGTAGCGTCCATTTGTAATGGTGTCTTCAGCATCGCAGTTGGATGAAAGTAGATTAAGTCTCTCGTGTGATTGTCAGATATTCGAGCAGTGGTGGTTTAGGGGATAGAGAGTTCGCCTCCCAATGAAGTGAACCGGGTTTGAATCCCAGCGATGGCTGGTCGATTCGAATTCCGCACCCAGCTCTCACTGACCACAGTGCTGACGTAAAATGTCCTCAATTGTAGGCGGATCATGGGTTAGAGTCCCCTTGCCGCCAGATTAACCATTGGAGGTTTTCGCGGGACTCCTGTCCATGTAAAGCAAATTCGGGTTAGTTCCATCAAAAAGTCTTCCCTCCAAAACAAATTTCTCCTAATACTTAATACAGGAATTCCCTTATGTTCTGGACAGGGTTTAAAGTTGCAAGGATATGGGGTTAAACATTGTTGGTCGTAAACCTTAAATTGGGTAGATTGTTCAACGACAGTTGCAAAAAATGATCTGAAGTGAGATTGGTACTTCGTATAGTCGAGTAAACATACAGGAAAGGGACCGATTGGTTGCGTCAAGATTAATGGCTATATATCTCACGTGCTTCCAACTGAGATTGTCACTGACCATTAATGATATTCTGTTTCCTCCTCGTATGGTCAGCAAGTTCTGCAGATCTGAATCCTATTTAAATTATGTGGATTGCTTTAGGGAGGAGAAATGCTGGTTCAGAATGCCCTGCAATAAAAAAGTTCACCCGCATCCGTGTACTGACAGAGGAATGGGACAAATTGCCCCAATAGCTTCTGTACACTGCTGTGCAACGCATGCCACGAAGTCTGGAAGATGCATCTTCCTCCATGGTAGTCATACCTACTATCGGCATTTTACTACAGAATACCTACAAATGATGTTAACCTTTCGTTTTTATTTCCAAAAATCAGTCAAAAGTTCTAACATTCAGACATTCTTTTATTTCACTTGGAATTTAACCACACTATGCAGTCCCTTATGGTCCGTTTTTAGCAATTGTCCAGCAGTGTATAAAGTTTACCATTTTCATATAGTCTACCATTTCTATATATTTAGTTTTAAAAAATATCAATGCTAAAAATTTCTTTTGAAAGTGGTAAAAATATCTTTTATAAATAATACTTTTAATAACAATATTTTTCATAAATGTGATATGACATTTAATAAAAAAATATCATTAGCATTTGTTTGTATCCATGAAAAAAAAACAGAAAAACAAATATTTTCCCTCTATTTCTTTAAAATACACTAACTCATTATATCCCAGAAGACTCAAACATTCAAAATCACCTTGCTTATTCTTCGAAACGTAGCTTACTTAGAATCTTTAAAACATAGCTTCTATTTATCAAATACACTAATTTACATTACAACTCTTGTTAAGTTTATTCCTTCGGGAAAAGATAAAGCTGTTAAAAAGAAGGAATTAAATGGATGTTTGAAAATGGTGTCAAACCTTTAAGATCTATCTATTGGCAAGGGAATTAATCTTCAGCAGAGTGAAATGAAACATCAAATACTAGAGAAAGTCTTCCAGTTGGATGACCATCGCTTATTGCGATCATCTTTATTGATCAATAAGCATGTTTTTCCAGAAGAGAAATTTCTCTTTACTAGCCATCAAATGGAGTTTAGAAGAAGAGAAAGGAAAGAATTTAAGAGGAAAAGAAATTTAAAAGTAAAAGAAACAGGATCTTTGAAAAAAAAAACATTAATTTTATAATGATATTTATATTGTCCTGCTCACCATGGTGTTCATCAAATTATTAAATTACAATAAATTAGCTATTTCTTGACTATTTGATTTCTTTGAAAATTATTAGAACATATATATANTATATATATATATAAATATATATATAAATTTCATTCTTGAACAGCTGTGAGTTTAACATTATGATTCAAATTTCAAAATTAGCTCAAGGTTTCATAAGGACACCTGAAAATGTTAACACTTTTTAACTTGCCGTTATTTGTGATAAATTTGAATTTATCCAATCCTGTATCTAAAATTTCGGGGGAAGAAAATTTTGAATTTTATTTTTTCGGTTGTAATTTTTTGGCCTCTTACTTTGAATCTTCTCATATCTGTGTATTACATTTACAGTAAAAAATTGGGAAAAATATGTATAATTTTAAAATTTATTGAAGAATTTTAAAAGTACCTGAACTTTTGTGGAGCACTGTAAAAGCGAAACAAAAGTTTTCGTTCTCAATATAAAAATTCGTTTTCCAAAGAAAATTTTTTAAAAACATAGTATTTTTTTTTTTTACATTATTTATTTTTTTGATGCCATTTCATGTAAAAAAAATATTGAATAATAAAGCATAAAACTCTTTAATGTTGAATTGTTTTGCGCAAAATAAAAAACGGACCATACTTAATAACTTTTGATCCACAGATCGAATTTTCCCGTTCTAGGACTCTATCTGAAAGGTTCGATGGTACTGAAGATTGAACACAAATATGCTAATTAATTAGTGTAGATGATATTTTATGCTTCGAAATAAGAAGCAAATAAGTACTTTCTCTGAATAAACCTACCTTTTTTTTGACGGATTCAGATTTCCTAAATATAAGTCGCAATCTGGGAAATATATTCCCTATAGTTATGTCTGAAGAGCGGTGAAAAGTTTGGATCCCTTAATATTACTACTTTTTTGCGTATTTCGCCATATCTCGATAAAATTTTAAGCGAACTCAAAAACTTTCGCGCAAATTTATAAAATTCCTTTATTTAAAAACAATTCCATGCAAAACATAACTTTAAGTAAATATTTATTATTTTCTATTATTTTATTTAATAAATGTATTAAAACGTTTGAATTTTGAAGTAGATAATTTTTTACATCATTTTAAAGAATGCAATTTTAAATGAAAAAATAAAAATGTGAGCGAAATTGGTCAAATAGTTCCTAGGAAATCGAAATTTGAAAAAGTCGGATTTTTATCGTTGTCGTATTGTTGGACCGCTGGCCTGATCAAACTATTGGGGCCATATTTCTCTGATTGTAGCTACCCCCTATGTTTTGGGAGTCAGAAATCTGAATCCCTGGGTAAAAAAGGTGCATTCATTCAGAGAAAATACGCTTTCGTGTCTAATTTTCAATTTAAATTATCGTCTGTACTTATTAATTAGCATATTTGAGGTCACCCTCTTGTGCCATTAAGATTAAGTCCCAGAACGTCAAGATCCGATCATTAAATCAAAAGTTATTGAGGGTAGTCTGTTAATTTTGTTTGCTCACTGTGCAGTGATCCACATTCGAAACTCTTCTATAAAATTTAAAAACAATTCCGATTTTTGTTAATAATTTTTCTGTAAGTATAGTAAACAGACAGAAGAAGATTCGAAGTAAAACATTACCTAAAAGATTCAGACAGGAAAAAATATCCTCCAAAATTTGCTTGCCCTGAAAGAACAAGAGTAAATAAATGTAGATTTTTAAAAAATTACTCCCGGGTAAGAAAATTATAATACTCAGGTTGGACTATATTTTTTCCAGATTGCGATTTTCATTCTTTTTTTGAAGGGCAAACATCTGAATTCGGTGCTGAAGAAGCGTTTTGGTGTCTGATTTTGTAACTTATACTCCTACTAATTAGCAAGGTTGGTACGCATAACGTTACTCATTGGTACACATGAACGATTAATAATGCTTATTACTGATCTTTATGTTAAAATTTATAAGTCATTCGATATTTTACTTTGCGCACTCTTCATCAAGACACCTTTAATTGTAGTGTCATTTTCTTTATAGGCAAGATGACAAACCTCAAAATTACATTGAATTTCTAGAATTCTTTTTGACAAAAGGCTTACTTGATATTCATTTTTAAACTCTTGTTCCATAAAGCTAAGTCTCCTTAGCTCCCATGAGAGCTCAAAAGCAGATAGGATTGGATCCTTGCTTGAGAGAGCAATTAGAGATGGTGATGCCAAAGCCCGATAAGAATTAATGCGAGATCTTGAATGTCTTAGACTGTCTTCACAACTTGATTTGACACAGTCTACACAACCACATCGTACTTCATGAGGTGTTGGGATTCGAATATCTAATGGAGCTTGGGAAGAATCATTAGACAGGCGATCCAACAAGATCTTGATGATTTCGTAGTTGTCTCGATGAGCGGCTAAGATCAATGGTGTGATGTCTGGAGTGAATGTTGCGATGTCTCGATCAATGGCTTCCCAACTCTAAACAAAAAATAAACATTCATCAATGTATTTGAACAAATATTATGAAACTTATGGATGCTAATATTAAGTTGATATAAGGATGTAAGTGTAATTTTAAATCTAATATATATAATATATATATATATATATATATATACTAAAAAATGGTATAGTGTTATTAGTCTCCTAAAGCACGAGTTTAAAAAAAATGATCGAGCTTTTTTTGACCGAAGATGAATACGTAGGTATAGAGTAAGTTATTTTTTGAAATTTGATTTGTGGGGGTGACTTGGGAGCGAGGTTTGGTGTGAAAGTTATCAGAAAAAAAAACTGTAAAAGCAAAGTTTAAATAATTCAGTTACAGGTTTATTTTGAATTTTAAAAACATTTAAATCAAATTAAATCAACTCAAGAGATCATCACTTTCATCGCTGAAACTTTCTGATAAATTGGCTTATTCAAAATCGTCACAGTCACTCGTTATCGGATGACTTTTCTCAAAACAACTTAGAAAAACACTTTGTAAAAATTAATTTATGATAAATTTTTTACTTTTATGATATTTAACCCAAAAATAATGGATATATTACCTTTTCAACACCAAGCAACTGCTTTAGAACAAAGAATTCCTAACAAGCTTATAGCTAATCATCAAAATACACCACGTGGTTGACACAAAGAAACGATGCATAATGGTGTCATCTATGGTAAATAAATTTAATTATAATCTAGTCTATCCATTTTTACCAGAACAGATCTCAGACGGCCATTAGAAACAGAATAACGCGAGATTGCCTGTGTGAGACACGCTAATTTGCCATTTACTTTCGCCCGTGTCAGACACGGGCAAATGCGTTAAGGGAAACTGACTACTAAATGAAAATTTAAATTTTCAGTGAGTAGCCAGTGGTTGGTAGACTCTAATAGCTTAGTAGCCACTTTTTCGTCAAACCTAATGAGTCGCCGACTAATATCGATAGATCCTTTCCATTTAATAGCCACTTTTGCAGACTTATTCTTTTTGCTTCGATTAAAATACATTTTTTCAGGAAAATGCATATTAGAAATAATCTGAATCAATAAATGGTTATTCAGCAATTAAAATAATATGCAAAAAAATTGGATAAACATACTGACTTTGAAGAACTTTTTTTACAAATGCTTGAGGTGGCGAAATACATTTAATGTATATATTACAACTTTGAAATATGTGAATTGTTAAGGAACTCTCGTTCTCTATGAATCATTCCACCACAAATTGATGGACATTAAAGGATAAAAATTTTGAATGGAGAAATTGGAAAATTGTGTTACCCAGAGACTCTTTCTGTATTGATTTACTCTGATCATTATACGTTAAAAAAAATTGACCGGTCGTTTATTTAATTTAGGTCGCCATTTCTTTTTTGTTAACTCGCCAATTGGAGGGAGGCGAGTGATTATTTTCAGGTTTAATGCGTATTAAAAAACAAACAAATCTTATCATAAATATCACCATGAAATTGATCTATATATTTAAAACATATACCAAACACGAAATATTTAGAACTATTAACACGTCTCGATCATGGCTCAAAGAGACCAGATAAATGTCCTCCAATGGGGCATACATGCGAGACATGTGCTGTTGTAATATTAGTATAATAGCAATAAGTTACAGCATATAATAGCATAAATATTGTTTCATTATATAGATTTCAAATTACAAAACAGAAAATCAATCGGTTGCTTGTTGAGATGACATGAAATATTTTCGGAAAAATTACTAAACATCTTTTTAATCGTAGCAATATTTCGATGAAAAGAAAACTCCTCGTTGTCGATGTAGACATATGGTTGAGCAATGATGTTTCGATTTAGTTTTTAAATTATTTCTATTAAAAATATTTTATTTTATTTTATAACCGTCGTTGAACAGCCGACCCAATTTCATGGGTTTACGACTACTTACGTTCAACTCCGTAGCCTTGTAATTTTGAACCAATCTAGAAGACAAGGAAACTCCTGGATCAGTACCTCCAGAGGTATTGATTTGTTGTGGGAACATGGAGGACTTTGAGAATCGACAGATTTAACGTGCATCAGTCACCATTTACTACACGGGGAGTCTTCGGCCGGCGAGGATCGAACCCACGACCTCTTGGATATGGGCCCAGCGCCCTACCGACCAGGCTATTATTTTTTTTAAGTCTTACACACTGATAGCTTTGTAACATGTGCTTCATTCAACTGGTAGTGTTTTTAAGATAAGTAATTGACGCAAAAACGTATTTACACTAAGAGATATACGAAGTTGCCTTAACTCATTGTTAAGCTTTAAGGGAAGTATTTTATCGAAAGAAGTAAACTTTTCCTTAAAATAATAAGTGTTCGCAAATGAAACGTATGAGCTGAAAAGGAACTATGCAGAAGAAGTTAATTAAAAAAAAGTAGCCCGAAAGCATCCTGCAAGTAATTGGTATACTTTTTCAAAGATTATTAGCGATTCTCGTTCAATTGCAGCAACGATTAAAAATTTTGCAATGATGTTTTCAATAGAGTCAATTGGAGTCTCTTAGACGAGTATTTTGAAGTTTCTCCTTAAGAAAAAAATCTAAAAATCTGATGAACCTGCTGGCCTAACGATTGGTCCACCTCATCCAATCCATCGAGGCTGTAAGGTTCATCGATGCAATTGCACGCATGATTGTGGAAATGAGACGTGCTAAAATCACACGGCATTTCAAATTGCAGCTGTTGCACTGTCCTATAATTTCGGTAAAGCCTCATCTAGAAAGATTGAACACGTTGTGTCGTTAAGTCGATGGGAAAACAAGTATCTGCTAATAAAGTAATCACTAACGATACCCGCCCACATAGTAATTGAAAACCCTACTATAAAGCATGTGGACTTGTAGTATGTGATTAAGAGGTGACACATGCAAGGGGATTGTAAAAATTGTGTCGTGTAAAGGTGGCAACTACTGTGTAAGGAATATTTGCAGGAAAGCCTGGATTGATTGCATTTTATTTCAAAAATTAATGACAGAAATCTACGCACCGAGGAAAATCTGCTGTATTGAGTACTTGCGAACAGATACTTTGAGAATAATTCTCTGTAATTGGTATGAAAAAGGTCTTTCCCAACAAAAAAAAATCTATATGGTGTTTTTACTCACGCTGTTGTCTGTGCCATAGATTTTTGTGATAGTGCTTAAATTATCTTCAAACTTTTAGTTCTGAAACTCTTAAGTGTTTCGAAAGAACGTGTTCTCGACACTACTCGTGCAAAACTGTTGGTGTGAAAGTAGAAAAAATTTTGTGGCTCGGCTTTGTCCTCTTAGAAATGCACTCACGATACGACCTGAAAGCTTCTCTTCTGTTACAATTCAGGGCTTCATGCATAAGATGGATGCATATATTTTTTCTCAGTGACTATATATTACTCCATCATGCAATAAAACACTTTTTAAAAGTAATGAATCGTTGAATCGCGAGTAATGCAATTAAAGCTAAATAAAATTGTTTTGTAGACGATTTGATAATGTAATTGAAATTAAACGTATTCATAATTTATCGTCCTAAAAATTGTTTTATAAACTTATAATAATTCGATTTTATATAATTCATATTTATTTAAGTAATTCTTATTTACTTAAATAATTCTTATTTACTAATATAACTTTTATTTTTTTATATAATTAAATTCAATAACATTTTAGTCTTATTAAATAATAAAATTTTTTTTCTACCCTTTTTAGTTCAGTATCATCTTGGCATCCACATGATTTTCGTCAAAATTTAAAGGGTGCATTTACAGTAGTTTTGATTGAATATTTAGAACTGAATATGTAAAGGTGAATAATACATGCCTCATTAAAACTTTACATGCCCTGGGTAAATACATTTTGAGTTTTCACTGATTATAACTTTAGATAGAAACAAAAAAATCCAGTAAAATATTGACACTTTAAAGGTAGTAATTATTTTACTAAAATATCAATGTGAATTTTCATTCACTAAATTCTTCGTAAGCGACAGCTTGATGTATGTTTTTGAAATATTGGTGAAAATAAGTTTATGATGATAAAAGTATTTGGGTCTTAATGCCAGCAACATAATGTGGTACTAAAAGTTGTATTAAAGTGGCAAAATTAAATTCTCTATGCCAACGAAAATAATGATATTAAGCCAAAGGAGAAAAGGTACTAAATTGATGATGCAGTAATTCTGGTACGTGTTAGTTTCTTTGAATAGAAGATGTAATTATAATATTATTATTATTAGTTTTAATAACTTTTATTCGCTTGTAAAATTATTTTTAATTTAGGTATTGGAATGGGAAGGAGTTTTAAAGTAGGAGAAAAGAGTTCATATGAAAATTTTTATTAAATGATACTAAAAATGAGGTTATATTTTATAAATGAGGCAAAACATTTATGTTTTGTTTACAAAATAAATTCTTTGTCAGCATTCCTGAAATATCTCTATAGCAATGTGAGCAATTATTAATAATGTTTTATATATGTCATTACTTATTTAAAAAAAAGGATTATTATTCAATTTAAAAAAAAATAGCCCTTGCTTACAGCTTTTTGTTGTTGTATGAAATGAAAAATATGTTATGAATAAACTTTATTCGCGGTTGTTTTCGTGACGGCATCAAATTTTTTGGCCTAGACGCCTGGATAGCTCAATTTATTCTCCTTATGAATCAACTCAGAATTTTAATTAGTAAACCTTTAAATTAGTGGATAATCCTGCGACGATGAATGCTGAACTCTCACAAAGAACTGCATCTACTCCCGATACTGGGAGGCCAGAGACCTTTTGTTCAATTAAAATTCTTGATTTAATTTTTGTCTTTGATGTTTTGCTCTTGTTTTTGTATATTTCATCTCTTTTCTGTAATTGTATTTTTCCTTTTTTTTTTATCTCTGTACGGCGTTAGGATAATGTCTGTATCGCCTGCTGCATAGGAAATAAAAAAAGTTAGTAAACCTTTAGATAGTTGATTGTATTAAATTGTCCCGAAATTTTTTTTTCAGTAAGGTGGTTTTAGAAAATAAAGTTTTGACTAAATTAAACTCTCCTCTCTAAAAAGGTATCAAAGCTGAATACCAAAATTTTTTGTTATACTAAAGAAATACAGTCGGACCCCGATTTAACTAATTCATCGGGACCGGAAATTTTATTCGTTAAATCGGGGTCATTCGTAAAATCGGGGTTCAAAAAGAAATTGTTTTTTGTACATATGTATTATTAAAAACTACTAGTTATAAACGACTATCTAAGATAAGAAAGGAATTTCCTGTTTGACTCATAGTCCACGTGACAAACCCCCGGAAAATGACCTTGCAAGTGTAATGTCTTATTGACTCTGCCCACCTACCCACGACGAATTTTGTTTTTCCGCGTTGCGGCCTTTTCTTCTGTTTGAGACGAATATGCACTTTTTCTATTTTATTCCTCCCAGGAAAGATTTTTTTCCCTTTAGAATCTGCCAATTACAAAAAAATGCAATATTTTTCTGATCAAAATGTATGAAAAATATTTTTTCCGGATGCTGAAATAATTCGTTAATTCGGGGTTAATTATTCGTTAATTAGGGGTTTTTGACTCTGTTTTTGCTGGGGTTGAAAAAAAAACGTTAAATCGCGAAATTCGTTAAATAGTGGTTCGTTAAATCGGGGTCTGACTGTATTAAGTTTTAGTTTTTTTTTAAAAAATAATAAAAAAAATAAAAGTTTACCATGTACTACAAAAAAAGACATTTTTTATTTAAAATGACAGAAGAAACTAAAATGGATCAAAAGAATTTGTCGGTGATTACTTCTGAGTTCTACTAGCAATAGCAGTTTATTTATAGATATTTTAAATCTTTCTTAAAACACTTTCACAAATAAGTTAAGAAAATTTGCTCAAGAATATAAATCATACATTAATTTTCAAGGTATAATACCTATCTTAAAACGATAATAAATTATTGTTGGATTTAGTTATTAGCATTAGATTTCAAAGAAAAGATAAAATGTAACTCGAAATAGAATTGTTTTTTTATGATATTTTTGAATACAATTTTAAAGTCTTTTTCGTAGAAAGAACTATAAAATTTCATTCAAATTTTTACCAAGAATAAAGTTTTATTCGGGAAGCTTTTGATCCTTTTTTTAAGTAAAAAATAGCAAAAAAACAATGCATATCGAATTTCAAGTTGAAGGAAATAAAAATTGACTGAAAGTAGGAGGTAAAAATGCGTCTTTTTATTTTATACATTTCAAAAAGCAAATTATTGCACTTTATTCTTTTCTTTTCAAGTAGACTCTTATTCTTTTGAATGAGTGCCAACAAGAAAGCTCATTTTCGATTGTTAGTTTGCTTAAAATTATTCAAAAAGAATGTGTTTTAAAACGTTTTTTGTCCTTATACTTCAAATCCCTCTACAGAGATTCTTTTAAAACGCACTTTCTTTTAGTCGAATACTTCGCCAGTACGATTTTTCATTTATTTTGATGAAGATTTAATAATATTATTGTAAAAAACAAACATTGAATAATTTCTCGGAAAATATTCTCTGAAAAGAATCTATAATATAACATTTGAAACGATGGAAAAATACACTCTATAACAAAAAAATCGACGCACCAAGAAGCAATCATCCGATTGCTTTGCGTATGCATGAATGTTTTGAACAGATATGCAAATGATTAAAATTTGGTGTCCAATAAACGAATAGTTTGATCTCCGGCGCATCGGAACTGCGCATCCAGGAGACGTAATAAGGAGCAGTTCTTCAACGGTTGTTAAAACTTTCGGTTTGATTGCGATTCAGATTACCTTTCAACAACTTAAAAAATGCCTCGCTGCAGGATTCGCGCTCATTACGAGCAACTTTCAGAGTTTGACTGAGGTCGTATCATTCGATTGAAAGAGGCCGGTTGGACAAATCGGAGAATCGCTCGTCATTTGAGTCGAAGCGATGCGGCGATTCGAAGATGCTGGATGGGTGGAAAATGGCAGAGTTCAGCGTCAGGATGGTAGCTGTCGACCTAGGGCTACAACAGAGCGTGAGGGCAGAGTGATTGTCCGAGCAGCTGTCACAGCGCCTTCCTCATCTCTATCCACCATCAGACGTTCAACCCAAACACCAGTGTCCACCATGACCATTCACAGATGGTTGAGAGAGCGAAATCTACGCTAGCGGCGAACGTTACGCTACCTGCCAAACACGCCTGCACACTGCCGAGCCAGATTACGGTTGTGCATGGTTCGATCAGGCTGGAATGATGTCGACTGGGGACGTATAGTCTTTAGCGACGAATCCCGCTTCCAACTGTGTCCTGATGATCATCGAAGACGTGTTTGGAGACGCACAGGGCAGAGGGGGGATCCTGCCTTCACTATTGCACACCAAACCAGCCCTCAACAAAGCATTATGGTCTGGGGTGCCATTTCCCTTGACAGCCGGACCCCTTTGGTCGTCATTAGAGGTACACTTACTGCACAGTGGTACGTCGACGACATCCTAAGACCTGTTTTGCTACCGTTCCTTTTGCAGCGCCCTGGGCAGGTTTTTCAGCAGGACAATACCAGACCACATACGGCACTTGTTGCTATGAACTGTCTGCAAGCTTGTCAAACTCTTCCTTGGCCTGCCAGATCACCAGGTCTCTCTCCCATCGAGCATGTCTGGAATATGATGAGAAGGCGATTGCATCTGGCACGGAATGTTGATGACCTCGTTCGACAATTGGATCGAATTTGGCAGAAAATACCGCAAGAGACCATCCGGGAGCTTTATCGGTCTATGCCACGCCGTGTGGCAGCTTGTATCCAGGCTAGAGGTGGGTCAACACCTTATTGAACTTGTTACTGTAACTCTGCAAATAAATTATTCAATTGTTCTGAAATTTTAATCATTTACTATTCTGTACATTGCCTTCCTATCCATCAATTTTCGTTTCAATCGGACAACTCCTTCTTGGTGCGTCGATTTTTTTGTTAAAGAATGTATATCATTTTAACAATTGTAGATATCTCATTTTACTTTGGGAAAATAATGATGGCAATCAGAGGGAAAACTAAAATTGCTCGAAGAAATATTTTCACTTTAATTCTAGCAATTATAATCTATTTCACTTAAAATTGCGCTCCAATATTTTTTAATTTTACAATTAAAAACAGTGACTAAAGTGAAACAAAATATTATTGTTTATTTCACTGAGAAATGGATGTTGATATTTGATGATTCAATGAGAAAAGTTATCACAGTGTTAATTTTATTCAAGTAGTCAAGTATATTGCATAAATAGCGAATATTTGGAACACAAATATCAATAACATTTAAACCCTGTTAACATCATTGTTCCCTCCTTTTGAGAAGTACTAAAAAGGAGAAAAACTAAAAGTTTCAAAATTTGGTCTCCGAATGTTCACTGTTAGAAATTTCTTGGAAAAATGGTTGAATAACAATTTACTTAATTGTTATCTTACCATTTTCAAACAAAACAGTCAAATGCCCATAGATGCGATTGTATTCAAACTGTTAACTATGAGAATGACCGAACTGTTTTCACCTGATACAGTTAAAAAATATGGGTTAGAAAACAGTTAAAAATAATGGGTACATATTATAGCCGTGAAGGCTAATCTGTTATTCTCATGACCCACAGAACGGGTTTTCCCCCATTCCCCGCAACACATAAAGAGTTTCTAGTGTCCTTCACTTACCAATTTGTGATCCTGTACTATTAGAGTATGATACTCTCATTTACGCATAGACGACAGCACCAGAAAGTTACTTAACACAAATAGTCTAGTATTTCTCATCTCCTCCGATAGGTGAAGCAAATAGATAAACTAATTAAACTACATTCCACTGTTTATTCTATAAAACGCAACTCAATTACAACCACAACCTAACTCCAATGCCCATTACCTAACGCAAAGTTTAGCCCCAATGTCTAGTTAAATTTCTTGTTTGCGATTTTTTAAGATTGAATGGTAAGGCAATCGTACAGTTTTGTGTTCATGGCTTTTTAGCCATACTAATTGTAAACGGTTTCTAAACCGTAAATGTTGTTTAACGTAAGCTTTACTGTCAATTGAAAGGACAGACTGCTACCTGTTATTTTACCGGTAATTTTAAAATGAAAATTCTATCTTGTACTTATATCGTGGGGGCGTTTTGATTTGGTACATTTTTGATTCAAAATGAATTTAGCCATTTCAATGGTTTTTAAACATTGAAAATATTCATCAGTGTAAAATGATATTCCTCAAAGTACTTACATGAGCCGAACCCTTTACATGATGCTGTTCCTCATGTTCCAGAAGCAACTCAACTGCTTCAACAAATTCTTCATTAATAGCATGTAAAAGGGCATCTTTAGTTTCTACATTGCTATATATAAGTAACTGCACCATTTCTAAATTTTCGTTGTCTATAGCCATTAATAATGCTGATCGACCCAAAGGATCTGTGCAATTAATGTTGATTCCAGTATCCTTGGAGCTTTCTAGGTACCTGAAAAGAAATTAACAATGAAAGCTTTTTAGGGAAAAGCGAGTAAAAAAGTAACATCAAAAGTACCAAAATATGGTAAAATCTACCATATTTCTGGCTCCATTAGAATGCCAAAGAAGCTCGGTAAATTTTACTGAAACGCTTTAGTAATGATTTTGATAAATTTAATAATAAAATATGGTTTTTGTAATATGTGATAAAATTTGGTAAATGTGGCAATTTTTTTAAAATTTTATCATGATACCATAGAGCACGACACAAAAGCTATTTACATTTAGTTTTTAGTTTTAATTTTACCTTTTAGTTTTCCATTACTAAATGTGTGGTAATACGAACTATAATTTTGAAAATCCGAATTTCTGGTAAGCCTTTGTCATATGAACGGAAAAATGAAAAAAAAAATGAATGGTTTAAATTCCGTATATTTTGGTTTTTATAACCAGAATTATGTATTTTTCCTTCTTAGAAATATAATTACTATAGAATTTTGCCAGAATTTCATTCTCCGTGTGCGCTTGAAAAAAAGGATAATTTAGAGCACTTTGATAATGAGCGAAAAACTGCATACAATTTTAATTTACAAATTATTCGTTTAATAAACATAATTCTGATGTGCGAATCATATGAAGAGAAAGAAACAAAATTATGTCTTTTCGTTCGGCATGAATTTTTGTGCAAAAGTTGACACTCTTCATCGAACTCAGCTGGTTGAGGTGCGTTTTTGAGGTCAAAATTTCCATTTTGAATATCAAACACGTAGTACATTATTCCTACACAGCATAAATGTCACGAACAGATTTAGAGGCCTTGGAATATTGATAAAAGCAAATTGAAGGAAATGCCAAAAATGTCCTTTTTTTTAAACTTGATATACCAATTCAATAATCTGAAAATTAACATTAATTAACTCGAATTAAAAAAACACTTTAATTCCGGTAGAAATCTTTGAATTATCTCAATAATTATGGTAATAAAATTTCATGACAAGCAGAATATTAAATTTTAAAAGAATGGTGGCAACTTAGCCTCCAACTCAGCGCAGTATATATTCTTAAATGATTTATATTTTCGCAGAAAGAAAAGAAAAATATTTAATGTCGTTCAAAACTTCTCAGTTTTAAAGTTAGTTGAAAAATTTATTTTAAAAAAATTATCCCGGACTAAATCTATGAATTTAGTAATTTTTATCTTTTCAAATAATCTTTTATTAGTTCTACTTTGATATGATAACAGTAAACTTCGTTTACACGAGAATGGAAGCAAGTTTTATAGATTAAGCACTGATTTTGAATGTGCTATGGATTTTAATTATATTTAAATGGTATTAAAGTTATTTCCAAAAATGTGTTTTTTGATGCATAACAGAAAGAATAAGATTTCAACCGTTGTGAGGACCCGGTGGATCATTGGAAAAACGACTGCGCTTCTATGTTATGTCAAACATTGTGATGGCCAGAATTTAGTTTTTGTAGTTTCTTCTCCCTTTGACCAATTTTGGTAGGTTTTCTATTTTGTGCGAGTAATTTGAGAAATGACGTTTGGATGTGTAATTAATGAGATTATAAAAGGCTATTAAAATTTCATTTTCATTGAAAACATATGACTGTTACAATAGGATGTCACTCTATGACATTATACAATAAGTATTTTTATTTATTCAAGAGATTTATAAAATATGCTAAGGGTCTCTGTGCACAATGAATTTTTTCAGTTATACTCAAAGGATTTATAAATTTACTCATAGCGGTGAATTATTCAGTATGCAATGGATATTTTTTTACTATCCTTCATAGAAACATTATTGTTATGTTCAAGAATGAAACATTTAAAAAATAATAATACCTAACAAAAATACAGTTAGTCGAAGATTAATAGATTAAAATCCTTAGTAAAATAATGTCAAGCATTACTTTTGAAACAACGACTTCGTCAATATTACATGGACTTCCTAATCGAGCGTTGGCTATTTCATTCAGCTATGCAATGTTCGAAATTACCAAAACAGTCACACGAGGGCAATTCCACGAAAGTGTCAACTTTTAAGTGAAATTTTTTTTTTATGAATTGCATATTTTAATTTTAAAAATATGTTCAAAAATAGCCAAAGTCTACATATTATTGTTTAATTTTTGATAATTTTAAGTTTTTTGAATCTGGCAGCATTCTAAAGTAATCACATGGCTGACAAGTGAATTCTTCACATTTGTGCTCAAATTGTTTTCTTGAAAAATACTTATAAAATAAAAGAAATGTATCTTTCTTTTGCAATATTTTGATAAAAATATGCATATAGTACAAAATTTAAACATTTAAAACATAGCCTTTAAGTCATTTTAAGTTTAATATATTAAATAAAAGTAACTTTTTTTTGTGTCATTCCGTCACATGTTTTAGTATATTTTTTTAAATAGCAACTGCGTTTTTGAATGAAAATGTGTATATTTTGGAATATAAAGCAGATGTGGCATAAGAATCAATGAGAAATTGTAAAATTCTATGCATTTGATTATTAACTTCCAATAATTAGCGTGACGGAATGACACATCTTCGGCGATGGAATGACAAAACGAGTCCTTGAGAAGCTTAGTCAAAAACTAGGGAATTATTTTTTTTTCAATTAACCTAATGGCTAAAACAGCTGTTGAAAGACAGATAAAATGTTGAAAAAGACCAAGATCCCCATGATATGATGAAGAAAAAAAACAGAGAAAGAAAGGCAGAGAAGAAAGCTTCCGCGACAAAAGTTGGACTTAAAAAACTCAGAAGTGCAAACGCTGTTGTGCAGAGATTGTGTAAACAAAGAAAAAATCAAATTCTACCAATCTCTTCACATACAAATAATTTAAATTCCCTATACAAATTCCTGCAGAGTCTTGGTAAAGCCATAAAAAAAATTGTACACTCACCATAAAAAAAATTGTACACTCACTTCCAAAATCACCAATAGAGGTAAAAAAATTAATTCAGTCTTTATGTGAGAAGTATTTAACATCGAACTCAAAAGAAACTAAGTGAGAAAAGTAATGTTGATGAGCTGTTTAATTTGGTTAAAAAAATTTTACTGTCAAGATGATGTTAGTTACAAGCCCCCAAGTATGAAGGATTCAGTCATAATACAAACTCTGACAGAGTAACGAAGAGTGCAGATGCAATATATACTTATGGCCTTAAAAGAGGCTTTTCATAAAGAAGCATATATTGATGTAAAGTGTGTCTTATCTCATTTTTGTTCTTATTCTCATTTTTGTTAAGTGTATTTCATTAATACCTCACAGCACATGCACCTATAAATACCATGTAATTGTGATGTTGTTCTAAAAGGCCAAACAAGATGTTGGCTGCTGTAAAACGGCACATAATATGTAAAAGAATTTTATGATTTCATAAAGTCGAAGCAACAAATCGTTGAAGTTTTGTTTTTGTCCAGCTATTCTATTTAAGAGAGGGCAAAAGAGAATGACTTCAGCTAGACACTTGCTACATTAGCATTGCCAGGAACAAGAGACCTGCACTAGATGCTCATGTAGTTGAGAAGCGAATCATCAAAATTGGAATGCTTTCTAATTTTAACCAAAACCAAGTGTATGATTTGAAAAGCCACTGTTTTGAAGAGGAAATGGAAAATATGATTGAGGAGTATGCGGTCGGCTCTTTAATCATTGTCCCATACTGCGAAAAAAAAGAAGGCACATTTATATGCAGCGCAAATTACTTTGATAAACAAAGACGATTTAGATGTTAAAGTATTTAAAGAACATGGGACAAAAATTGATTTATGCATAAATTTCCTGAGAACGAAGATAAGATGTGACATTGGCAAGTTAGATATAAAACCTCTTCTGAGACAACCTAATTTTCAAATTGTTGAAATTTTAACTGATTCTTACGTAAATATTAATTCTGTTTATCTGTTACATTCTGTTTATCATTTACATATTAATAAAACATTTTTTAAATGAAGACTTTCTTCCACTAAACTTTTTGTCATTCCGTCACGGTCATTCCGTCACAGCAAATAGATGTTAATAACTGCTAGCCAACCTGAGGTTAATTTTCCAAATTCACAATTTACATTGCTTACACATTATACTAAAAGTAAAAAATAGTTCAGGAAAATAATAGTTGCAAAATTCACAGAAACTACCAGTTCTAAGCGGCATGCCGAAAGCTTGGTTGCCAAAATGTCATTCCGTCACACAAGTAAAAAGTTCATAAAATTAAAAATAAAAAAAATACAAAATTCTTTTTTTTTAGTTTATGAATCACATTATACCAATAATAATGATATGCATGAGAAAAAATCATGTTTATTTGAAATTAGATGCATAGAAACTTCAATTAATTGTCATCATGCAAGTCAAAATGTCATTCCGTCACATATGGAATTGCCCACAATTAAACAGACAGAATTTTAGCCCCACTTTATGAAGCCGATTAGTTCCTTGCAACTCTGCTAAATGCATAAGTAACGCTGCCCATAGCCGAGTGGGCTAATCCAATACCTCCTAGAGAGGAATCAAGCCCCACAACGGGTTACTATAGGCGATGATGACGTAGTAGAGGCCCAGAGGAAAACCAGTAAGGGTAGCTATTTTTACGAAAAACTCCGAATCTGATCAAACGAGCCAATTGGCGAATATTTTTGATTAGAATTTGTAAACAACCGTCGGTGTTCTGATGCCAACGTTCTTCGTAAAATTTATATTTATTCTACAAATGTTATAAATTTCAGCATAATTTAATTCTTAGTGTTATGAATAATGGTATAAAAGTGCTGTGTCCCAAACTGCAGAGGAAATTACAAAGTTGATGGTATAAAAGTATCAGTTTTTGGATTTCCCAAAAATGAAGAACTACGAAAGAAATGGCTTGCCGCCACACCAAGAGATTTTGAAGTTACGAAGAATTCTAAAGTGAGTAATATTTGTTTTCATTTTTAAAAATTTAATTATGATTCTTTATTATATTTTTACTAAGAGTAAATTATTTTAAATTGTGGA